TTTTTATTTATGGTTAAGCTCAGATTTTCAGGCTAGATCTCTTTGGGCTGCATCTTGAGCTCCATTGCTCTTTAGAATACACCATTCCATTCCCTCTTATGTTTTCTGGTAGATGCAGCAGTCTTCCTTTCCTTCATATCTTCTCCTTGTTTCTCAATGTAATTTTAAAGTTAAATCACTGTGTCTTGGAGTTTGCAGCCTTAGGATTTTTGTTGTTGTTGTTCTTTTTCTAGAGGAGATCTGTGGATTTTAAAAATTGGTACTTTGTTTTCTTGTGTTCAGAAGTTCTGGACAGTTTTCTTATATTATTTCTGGCATTATGGTGTTCAGGGTTTTCTTTTCTTTCTTTCTTTTTTTTTTTTACTTCTTTTCTTCTGGGAGACCTATGATCTTTAATCTATGCAGCCTGTCCTTAAAAACAATATGATTTGCTTGTATGGAAAGCATGTTTTCTTTTAATGTTACTGCTTTTTGCTTCTCTTCCAGATTGTTCTTCACTTCTATGTATTTGCGTTCTCAATCATTTGTCCTTTTTGTTTCTTTTGTTTCTTTGGTGAGACTTGCCATCTTGGAATCAAGTTTTGCTATTTGGCCAATGATTTCTCCTGTGCAGGCCATAAATTCTGTTTTCACAATTCTCATTTATCTTTTAAACCACTTAGGAACAATGTGTTATGGTTCCATCCTCTCCTCATAATCCACAGGGACCTCTATGTCATCAAATGTTGAATCATTTCCCTTTGTTTTGCAGTATTTATTCATAGATGCCTGAATTTGTTTACTAGACCTGGAGGCCATATTTCTTTCTGCTTTCCTCTTGGTTTGTCTACTTATGATCAAAGTCTTTGAGTTTTCTTCCTCCTGAGACCTTTGCTAATTTCAGTCTTTTTCTCTATTATTTTCCCCTACTGCTCACTTTCTAACTCCCTCCCCTCTCATGGTGGTTTCCCTAAGGCCTGGATCTCAAATCATCTCAGCCTCCTCCTGTGTTGGACAATCCATATTTCTCCAGGCTATGTCTCTGCCCCAAGTGACTTTGGGGAGGATGGAACTGACCCCAGCTAAATGCTGGACTCTTTCCTTCAAGCTTAGTGAAATATCATGTAGGTCCAACTCCTTCCTCCTACCACCTTCCTATCTACTCCCCTGCAGGCCACTTCCCCCACCCTCCACCACCACTCCCACAGTGCCTTGTTCCCTCTCTTTCTCAGTTCTTTGGCCTAGAGTTACAGAGCACTTCCATGCTGCAATTATCCCAACCTGAGCAAATTTCTGCCCAGGAGATCAGTGTGTCAGACTACATTCTATTGTAGGCCCATGGGTCAGCATGGCTTGTCCAGCCTTGCTGCCATAAGTGTGGTGATCACGGGGGTTGGGGGTGCTGAGTGAGCTAGAGTTAGGTGATAGTTCACAGAGTTGTTTTTTTTTGTAACCTTCTTTAGGTTTTTGGCTTTCTATATCATTGAGACGACTGAAATTGTTTTATCTCTGCACCATAATATCTACTTTGGAGAAGTTCAAGAGGTCATGAGGATCAAAGAAAATGTCTAGTCCGCTTCTTATCGGTCACCTGACCTAAAATCTTATTCCGTGTAGTTTGGAGATTATGGTTATTTCTTTACTTACATACTTCCTTAAATATTAATTGACATTTATATAATGCTTCTCCTACAATAAGCCTGTATGAGATTATTATCTCTATTTACAAATAAGGATACAGACTCAGAGAGGCTGAATAACTTGCCTATGGTCGCATAGTACTAAGTGTCAGAGCTGGTATTTTACCTTAGGTCTCTTGATTCCAAATGCAACATTCTTTCTGCTATGCCAAATGCCTTTCTGCAAACACAAACTTTACACACACACACACACACACACACACACGCACACGCACACGCACACGCACACACATCTAGATGTATGTATGTGCATATATATATATGTAATTTGTTATATAGATATATTAAAAGTTTGTGTTATATATTTGTAGATATCTAGAAATAGATGTATGTATACATGTACATATACAAGTATATGTATGAGATACAGGTATAATATATATATATGTGCACGTACTTCCTGTATATATGTATCACCTTGTTCTCCCATCACATGCATGTCATTGCTTCCCATACACTGTGACTTCATGTACTAGTAAACTTAGTGCCAAAGTTTAAGAAGGACATTGATAATCTGGAGATGTTCAAAGGAGGGCTGCTAGGGTTGTGGAGGGCCTTAAGTCCATATCATATGAGGAACTGGGTTGAAGGAACTGGGCATGTTTAGTTTGGAAAGGAGAAGAGTCAGGGGGACATGATAGCAGTTGCAAGTGTATGGAGGGCTGTCCTGTTGAGGACAGATTAGATGTTTCATTTGGCCCTAGAAGAGGGACCAGAATCGGGAACAGTGGGTGGGAGTTGCAAAGTGGTAAATTTAGATGCAATGGCAAGAAAAACTTTCTAACCATTAGAGCTATCCATAAATGGAATTAGCTGCCTCAAGAGGTATCAGGTTCACCCTAGAGGTCCTCAAGTAAAGACTGCTGTTATGGTGGGTATTCCTTTTGTGTGTGGGTTGGACTAGATGGCCACGGAGGTCCACTCAAACTCGTAAATTCTATGACCTTTCAAACACATCCCACCTTTGTGGGTGCAGTCTCATCATGCTTCGCAAGAATCTGTCAACTTACCATCTCTAAGGAGTGGGCAACAATGTTATTGCCTCTCTCAAGCTGGTTGAAGGAGTGAAGCAAATCTATGAAAGTGTTTTCTTCTTTGGGATCCAATAATTAATTTTTTTTTCTTTTTGATGAGGCAATTGGGATTAAGTGACTTTCCCAGGGTCACACAGCTAGTAATTGTCAAATATCTGAGGCTGGATTTGAACTCAGGTCCTCCTGACTCCAAGGCTGGAATTCTATCTACTGCACCACCTAGCTGCCCCCAGATCCAATTAAATTTTGATATAGCTTGTCTAACCTCATACATCAGTTCAAAGTAATAAACATGGCAACAACCAGCTGATGGAAGCCCTTTGATTTAGTGCTCCTCTGCTTGTCATTCCATGTTCTTTGAGCCTACCATCAGTAGGTTATCAGAGCTGCTTTTTTAGGAGCTGTTTTAGGAGTTGTCCCTTTCCCTGAATTCACCATTCCCAAAGTAGTCATCTTTCTGCTTTGATGCTTCTAGCATAAGGGAAACTCAATGTGAGTAATCCCATTGCTACGAGGTAGTTTGGCTTTACGGTTGTGCCTCATTGAGAAGCCAGGCTTCATTGCTTATAGATTAGCTGTAGAGATGAGGAAGTGGTATTGAGGGACTGCTGAGTCTTTACTCTCTGGAAATCAGTAGAAATCGAGTTCTTCTCTGTTAATGCTTATGCCAAGAGGTATAAGTTATTCTGGAATGTTATCTGAGCACTTGGGTCTGAGTTCTTGAATGATAATCTAGCAATGGCAGCCTACCCATTTCCAAGTTAAACATTTGTGTTCTTGGCATGGTTAGCCTAGTTTCATTAGTTGTGACTTCTTTTCAGTTTCTCTCCTGTTCAGGTACCTGTCAGTCAAGTTTATTTCTGACTCTTAGGTATTTGTGTATTTTTCTAAAAAGGAAATACTTCCCTTTCTCAGAGGGGCCAACAGAGGCTCAGCCAAGGATAGGAAATTTAGATAAGACCATTCAGTAAAAATGAGAGAATCTTGGTGTACTAATTCCATGAGTGGCACGTGGAATCTTTTTAGAAGTCACATACTTTGCTATTTGCAAGGTTGGCAGGTTGAGGCGGGGCAGTTTCCTGTACATGTTGGTGCCTGCCATTTGGGAAAGTGTGTAGCACATTGTATTTTATTTTCCTGCTCTTCTGTCTGTAAATTTTCTCAAGAAAAAGGCTATAAATATTTTTTTCTCTGTTCAAAGAATTAAGATTTATGTTTTTACTAATTTAGCTAAATTAGTTCAGCAAAATTCACACCTACTTCCCTACTATTCCTGGTGGGTATATACTTTGCTAGACTTTTTAGGCTATGGACCATGAGGTAAAGTTGTGATTGGTACAGAGATGGAAGAACCAAAATAATTTTAAATGGTAATTATGCCAGGTTATCATTGAACCAGTGCTAACATGTGGCCCTATCATATCTTGCAGCTTTTTGGAGGTTTTTGGTTTCAGATCTTTGGTTTCCTTTTGTGGCCAACAGTTTAGCTTACTTCTCTCCAGTGGTAGTGTCATGGCATCAGTATCCTTCCCAAGTGGTGACATTGTAGTGTAACTATTTAGCAATTGTTACACAAAACCTTACAAGTGGATTACTTTGATGTCTATGACGTAAGGAACTCTTAGGTTATTTTTTTTTTAAAGTTTTAGTGATGCCTTTTGTTTTTTCTACTGTAATCTTTTCCTGATGTATCCTCCCCCCATCCCACAAATTACATGTTAAATTCTCCCTTTTAACAAAGAAAAAGAATTAAAACTGGCAATATCTACCTTTCTACTTAAAGGAGGGTATTATATTTCATTAGATATTTTCCAGGACTAAGATTTATCACTCCAAATAATCTTAGTCTGGTTGTCTTTTAGTGTTTTCATTCCCATTATTATGCATTTCTTCATGATTTCTAGTAAGCTGTCCCATGTTCTCTGATTTCCTCATATTCTTCATTTCTTATGACACAACACTATTCTATTAAATTCATATGTGACAGTTTTTTTCATGCACCAACCAAACAATGGGCACCTACTTTATTCTAGTTTTTTTGTTTTTGTTTTTGTTTTTTTGCCACAAAAAAAATGATGCTGTCCCTATTTTGGTATATATGGGCCCTTTCTTTTTGTCTTTGCTCTCCTTGGATATGTGTCTAATAAGGGATCAAGGAATCCTGAGTTCATAAAAACTAAAAATGCAAGTGCTAGAGATAACATTCTTTAACCTTTTTTTCCCCCCTAAGGGTCTTCTCTTATTTACCTAATCTGATGCCCTATGACCTTTGACTTTGACTTAACAGGTAGAGATAATACCCATGTGTGGTGCCCGAAACTACAAGAGATTATCATGGCTTTTCAGAGCCTGGGAGGAAGAGGCTCTAACTTGTATTCCAAAGCATCTCTTCAGCTTAAGCTCTCTGTCCATGATAAGAGGTAAGTGTTTCCTCTTTATGAACTTTAGGAAATCTTGACTCTTGATGGAGAGTTTCTTCCTTTGTAGAGAGTTTTATCAATTAGTGCCATTTATTCAGCATTTTTTAAACTCAAACTCTGGCACAATACTATAGTAATGTCTATACTGAAATACAAAAGCTAGAGCAGACAGCACCCACCTGAGGGCCTAAAAGTCTAACAGGAGAACAAACACCAGTAAATACCTATGAATATAAAGCAGAAACCTATAAACATAGTATATATATTTAAATACTGCGATATACAGTAAAGTGTTCAACTAAATATAGCTACATATAGCAGTGTGTTCAAAACAACGCTAAAGAAAGATAAATTTGACAGCTATGTCCAAGATTCTTGTAACATTGCAGAAATCATGTGTGACATCTGTGGCACAGGAGTCCAAATCTACTTGTGTGGCTGGAGTACTGCTTTCTGTTCTGCCTTCTACTTATGGAAGGCAGCGTGTTGCTGTATTATCCAGCTAAGGAGTGCAGTGTCTGAGTTGCCTTCTGAATGACTTTGTTTTACATGAGCCACTAGCCTGATGGTTTTGTCAGTGTGTCTGTGCCTTGTGTGGAAAAGTTTTTGTTTATTTGTCTTCTGAAAACAACAGCAACAACAACTGCAGTCTATCCACCTGCCACTGTCAAAGTTTGCAGGTACCTAGACTGCTTTTTCTGCTGTGAAGTTCATGGCTTTAGTAGTGGGACCAAGAAGTTTCATTCTATCCCTGTCAGCCATGTCAAGAATTAATCGAGGGGATGAACTGAACTATCACTTGGAATATGAAAATATAAAATCTATGCTTTGTACATAGCTTATGAGCTTCAATCCTATATCTCTGGACTCTCCTTTCTCAGGTCATGTTTCCCAACATCCACAGATTCAGTCAGCATTATGTATAAAATGGGGATAAACAATATCGCCTACCTTACAGTGTTGTGAGGATCAAATGAGACAATTGTAAAGTGCTTAGCACAGTGATTGGCACATAGTAAGCGCTATATAAATGCTAGTTATTATTATTATTATTTGTTAAGATAGTTTACTATATATGGCATAAAGTGAAAGGAAATAGATCAAATGCACCTAAATGGAGACATAAGTCTTTAGCCAGAACCAAACCTTCTATCACTTTGATTCCATTTCTTCAGGGATGAGTGGGAGTATTCTTGAACTGTCTAAACCCAAAACTTTTAGAAAAAAAAAAGTAAGGATAGGGGCAGCTAGATGGCACAATGGATAGAGCACTGGCCCTGAAGTCAGGAGGAACTGAGTTCAAATCCGGCTTCAGACACTTGACACTAGCTGTGTGACCCTGGGCAAGTCACTTAACCCCAATTGCCAAAAAAAAAAAAAGTAAGGAAAGGAACTTTTTGCCCTCATCTCAAACAACACACAAGAAAAAAGGGAAAGTGGGAAAAAGGGTGACAGGACTCAATCTTCTCCCCTAACTCCCCAGACCAATGAGGGTCACTAATAGCTGTCATTCTCTGCAGGTTGGGATCCTCTCTCCTTATGGTCCTTATCTCCATATTGGAGTGTAGGGTGTGTTCAAGGAAGACCAGTATCTCTGGTGTGAGGGCTGCCCAGCCCTTTTCAGGGCTGCTTTTCACCTTTGATGTCCACCTGATTCACCCAACACTCACTTGTGGCTCCAAGAAGCTGTAGCATGTGCAGTGGCCACACTCTGGCAGATAGGCTAAACCAGGTTGAGGGTAACCAAGGAAACTCTTCAGTGAATTAGGGGGGTGTCAACCCCAAGCATGTGAAGACTTCCCCCAGCTTCCCCCAGCAGAATGGACGGATGAGAACAATTTGTTCCAGCTACCATGAAGGAGGCTGAAGTAGGTGCTGTGGAGCTCTTAGAGTTTGGTTAGACACCGAAGACACCAAGGTCATTCACTGTGTCCTGAGCTATCACCAGTCATCTTGACTTTGTCTTGACCCACTGGACTTTGATTACTCTAGAGGAGAAAGTGAGGCCAACTTTTTGCAACTCTGCCTCACTTAAATCCAATTTATGCATGAATCAAAACATATCACCCATGCTGTTTTACCATTTTTACCTATCTCAAAGTCCTGTGGTAATAGGCAGGTGATGAAGTAGCAGGTGCAGATACACTGAGAGCTGTAGTCACAACCCTGCGCACAGGTGGCTCAGACCATAAGGTCATCTCAGTGAAAGCCTTGGTAGAATTTGGCAACCTCCTGGGTGTCTGAGCAGCCTTTTTTTAAGGACCACACAGCTCACTTCCTGGTGTGAGGAAGGGTCTAGCAAAGGTACCCTAAAAATTGTCTACCCAACCCTGACCTGCTTACCATGGCAGGCAGGGATTCCACCTATGGTTGAAACACAAAAAAATGTACAAAAACTTTTGCAAAGATCATTCCACTCCCCATCAGTACATGGAATATGTGAAGGCTTATGGGCAATATGAAATCCAATAGACTCAAAAGACGAATAGCTCTAGTTGCAAAAGAACTCAGCAGGTATCACATCCAAATAGCAGCCCTGAGCAAAACAAGGCCAGCAAATGAAGGCCAGCTTACTGAAGCTGGGATACGTATTTTTCTTGAGTGGCTGCCGTGAAGGGCAGTGCTATTAAGCTTGCATAGGTTTTGGAATCAAAACTAGTCAACATGCTTGTCTGCCTACCAAAAGGAGTGAACAACAGACTCATAACAATGCAATTGCTACTTGCAAGGAAGCTCTATGCCACCATCATTAGTGCTTATGCTTCACTGTGATGAACCCTGATGAGGCTAAAGAAAAATTTTATGAAGACCTGGAGACCCTCATCATCAATGTGCCAAAAGAGGACAAGTTTATAATTCAGGGTGACTTTAATGCAAGGATAGGCACAGACTACTAGATATAGCAGTGAGTCTTGGGGAGGAATGGAGTCAGAAACAGCAACAGTCACTTACTATTACTACTGAAGACTTGTACATCTCATGACCTTCTTATCACCAACACTGTCTTCTGTTTACCTAAACACAATAAAACTTCATGAATGCACCCTGCCAACAAACATTGGCATTTAATAGACCATGTCATTGTAAGGAGAAGAGACAGGATGTGAGACTGATGAAGATGTGTGGCCCAGAATGCTGGACTGATTATAGACTTATAGTCTCCAAGCTAAATATTCACATCTGACAAAAGCAGCAGCTCCAAGGCAAAATGACTACCAGATCACTTAATGTCATCAGATTAAGGTGCTTCTCCAAATGGGAACAGTTTATTGCTAACTTGGAGGGAACACTGAGCCCAATAAGAGTTGGCAGCTTTCAGAAATTTAGTGTACAGCACTGCATTTACTTGTCTGGGCCAGAACATTGGCAAACATCAATATCGGTTTAATGAAAATGATGGGGAAATTCAGAAGCTGCTAAATGAAAAACGAGAACTCCACAGGATTTACCAGCAGGATAATTCATCCATCTCTAAGAAGGCAGCATTTAATTCCATCAAAAGTAAAGTGCAAGCAAAGCTTAGAGAGATGCAGGATTATTGGCTCAGTAAGAAAGCAGATAAGAAATCCAGTTTTATGCTGATAGTAACAATCCAAAGTGCTTTTATGATGCCCCGAAGGCTATTTATGGGCCAAAGACACCTATCGTGCATCTCAGCTACCCAGTGCTAATGAAGCCACATTGATTAGTGATAAGGACATGATGCTGGAGAGGTGGGCTGAACTCTTCCATAGCATCTTCAACAGACCATTATTAATCAATACTGAAGCCATTGACTATATACCTCAAGTTAAGGTTTATCCCTCTCTAGTTGAACTTCCACCTGAAGATGTCTTCAATGCCAGTAGGCTCCTCTCATGTGGCAAAGCACCTGGTGCTGATTCTATTCCAGATGAGATTTACAAGTCAAGGAGTTCATTGCTCATACAAAAACTGACTGAAATTTTCCAGGTTACATGGCAAGAGGAGGTTATCCCCCAGGAGTTCAAGGATGCCTCCATTATCCATCTCTATAAAGGAAAAAGAAATAGATTGTCCTGTGACATTCATGGGGTGGGGGAGAATCTCTCTCTTAGTCATTACTGGCAAGATTCTTGCCAGAGTCCTCCTTAATAAGCCGATCCTTCACCTGGAAGATGGTCATTTACCTGAGAGTCAGTGTGGCTTCAGAAAGGGCTGAGGAATGGTTGATATGGTATTTGTTGCCCGACAACTCCAGGAGAAATGTCAGGAGCAGGAGAGAGGTCTGTATACAACATTCATTGATCTGACCAAGGCCTTTGATCCTGGTAGTCACCAGGGCTTTTGGAAAATTCTGTCAAAATTTGGTTGCCCAGAGAAGTTCATCAGTATTGTATGTCAATTTCATGATGGCATGCTTGCCCAGATGCTGAATAATGGACAATGCTCTTGTACTTTCCTAATCACCAATGGAGTGAAACAAGGCTATGTGCTTGTTCCCATGCTTTTTAGCATGATGTTTTCACCACTGTTGTCAGATGCCTTCAACAAGGATGAAAATGGCATCAAGGTCAGCTACTACACTGATGGTAAATTATTTAACTTGAGAAGGCTACAAGCCAAGACTAAAGTGGAGGGAGAATTGGTGTGTGATTTTTTGTTTGCAGATGATTATGCATTCAGTGCAGTCTCTGAGGCTGAGATGCAACAAAGTATGGATTGATCCTCTGCTGTTTGTGCTAATTTTGGCCTAACAATTAACAGCAAGAAAACAGATTCTCCACCAGTCAGCACTGCATCATGCATAAGTGGGACCATTGGTTATAGCAAATGGAGAAATTTTGAATACTGTGCATTCACTTACCTTGGCAGTGTACTTTTCAGGGATGTACACATAGATGCTGAGGTTGACTCATGCCTTGTCAGAGCTAGGTCAGTGTTTGGGAGGCTCCAAAGGAAAGTGTGGGAGAAAAGAGGTATTAGACTGCCTACCAAACTGAAGACCTACAGAGCCATTGTGCTGACTTCATTATTGTATG